TTTAACCATCTCTTTATTCTGTAGTTTCATTCATATACTATCCCGGGTTTGTTTATGTTTGCATTTTTACAGATCATTTAGTATAACATCTTGGTTTAAATTGGGTTATAACTCAGTTTAAACCAAGATGGTTAAATCAAGCAAACAACAAAATAACAAATGTATAAACTGAGACAAATGGTGTTCTCACCCACTTTGTCACACCGACCCCTGATCTAATGGGTATCATAGAAATGGATCAAACCAAATAAATTAATTGTTGATGCTGGTTTTACTAAGTGATGCTTTTAGATAAAAATATGCCTCATCATTATCAATTTTATTAGTTTCATTTGTTTTTACAGGATTTTAAGACCGCATACTTGTTGATCCCCAACTTTAGGGATCAGTTTTCTAGATTAGATTAGTAGGAAATCACTAGCTCTAAAGCCAAAATGTAGATCTTAAAATTATTCACACAGAAGCATTTTTCATCAGTAATCATCTTCTTTAGTAAACTGGTAAATCCAGCAGAGTGTCTTCAGTCCTGGTGAAAGTCGGACTGTTACAGAAGATCCTTCCTGTCAACAGCAATAAACTCAAGAACTCATTAGAAAAAAAGTTCCTTCAACATTTAATTTCCTTTTGGCATAAATACGGCATTTTTAAATGAATTTACATGAAATGTCTTTATTCTGCAGCATCATCCATTCAGCTGAAGGTGACGGTATCTATTGGTCTTCCTATCTCTAGTTTTATGCCTTTTTTTCCAGGAGAGGTATGTGTGCGCGGTGACCAGAGACGCCCTGGGTAACAGCGTCCCCTGCGCTGTCCTGAGACCCTCGTGAGTACCCACCTTTCCACCCTCCTCCTCTCTTTACTGTGACATGCCGCAGCGTGAGCGACGCGTCTGAGTGTCTCGTTTGTTTCAGAGGTACCGTGGTGACTCAGGAGTGCGTGGAGAGGCTGATCAGGAAGGACATGGTTGATCCGGTGTCTGGAGACAAACTAACAGACAAAGACATCATCCTGCTGCAGAGGGTATGTGGCTGCCTGACAGAAAAAAACCACAACAACAATCAAAGTTTATTTCTAAACTAATCAGTAACGTAGTTGAGGAAACTGCATTTAGCAACTTTAGGTAATATTTCCCTGACATGGATGCATGTGAGAGTCATGATGTTCTGTATCCTCATAGGGTGGAACTGGCTTTGCGGGTTCTGGAGTGGCCCTCAGCGCCAAAGAAGCTCGGCCCGTGATGCAGGCCTGAGAGGATGGAGATCTGTCCACTGTACCACAGTGATTTAAAGTCCATCTAATTTGTAAAGCAAATGTCAAAGCCTGAGTGAAATATTTTTATAGCTTGTTGGAACCTGTCGGCTGCCATGTGATGTTTAATTTGTGTATTTTTTCCCCCCCTTTTTAATGGATGCTGTGTCCTGAATAGAACAATGAATAAACCATCAAATAAAATTTTTTTTTTCCTTCTAAGAGTTTTTTTTTTTTTACATTTCTGGGGTTTAAAAAATGGATGTAGAAGCCATAGTCAAAGTTTGGTGTCTCGACAGTTTAACTCTGCACTCGTCTTATTAGTTCATGTCATATTGCTGGCGGTCTGTTTATGATGCGCACATGCATTTAAGCTGAGACATATTTTCCAAATCGATTTCACAGCTCGTCATGATCCTCCACCCTCATGCCCCCATAGTCAGTGATTGTGCTCATCTTGATGTAATCTGCTTTGTCGAGCACTTCCTCCAGCGTCAGACGGCCGTCCTGATGAGCAGAGCACAAACCAGGAAAAGACTGAGATCATTTGTTTACAGTGTACGGTTTTAATAAGGTTAGTCTTTAAATATTTTACTTAACTGAAAAAATCACAAGGTCAAAGAAAATTAAAGTCCAAAGTTAAGAACTGAATTAACAAATACTACTAAAGTGGAGAATAGAATTAGAATGAAGCAGGATGATGAAAAAGGGGTCCCTATGTCCTCCAGCAGTCTAAGCCTATAGCAGCAGAACTATAGAGATAGATCAGGATAACCTGAGCCAC